GTGTGTGTGTGTGTGTGTGTGTGTGTGTGTGTGTGTGTGTGTGTGTGTGTGTGTGTGTGTGTGTGTGTGAATAACCACACAAAAAGTCCATTTAAGCAGTTACAAATCTTTTATTTGTCAAAAGTTAACACCATTAAATAACACCGTTTTTGTATTCATTTGTGTTTTAACCACATCTCTAAAAATCATTTTCTTTAATATTTTTCAAAGATTACTGGTTAAGTAAAGAGTAAAATAGATAGCAGGTAATACAATGTCTAAATAATTGAATAATGACAATAAAACTATCGTAGCGGCAGCGACATGTCCACGTCGTTCAGCTCATTCCACCGACTGAAACCTCTGTACATATGCTGTTAGTTCTTTATTTGCTCGTGTTAGTTAATCTGGAGAAAACCAATTCTTTCAGAAGGTTGAATATGCACAGCATAATAATGGCACTGCAGTTAAAATTGATTTAATTATGAAAAAGTAATTAAGAAGCTGGTAATAAAGTCTGATTATGCACGGCTGGAGGAGAGGTTAGAAAAGTGCATCTGATTTCGTTCCTAAATACTTGGATCTCTCCAACATTCTCACCCCACACAGGTTTCTTGCTCTGCTTATTCAGGCCTCCGACCCCTGCTGTACACACAGATATCAAAACAACAACAGCAAATATTATCGCAAGCAACACAGCATCATGTAGAAAAGGAGCACTGTGAAAGGACGTACGCACACCTTCTCACCACACAGGGGAAAAACAACATGAATGTCAATGAATGTGGATATTTGCATCATTCTGAGAGCAGGAAGAGTGCGTAGACAAAACAGCACGAATCAGTAAATCCCTCTTTAAACACCCAGCGTGCATCGCTCCCCCTCTGTCACCAACGTTTTCTGGTTACTATTTACATTTCAAACTTTTTGCATTTCTGTCAGTAAAGAGAATTTCATTCAGTCCATTTCACGTGTCCCACTGCTGCATTCGGGGGACTCAGGCATCCTTTGTTCGTTCACAGGTTTCCACATCAGAGGGGAAGCTCGAGCTTTAATGCTGCCGCCGTTTCTAAATGCTCACAGCGTGTCTATCTACACGTGCCTCACCACCACACCTCACTGCTGGGCACAGCAATCCCAATATTACCCCTTCACAATATCACCGATGACATGAAACTCGCTGAAAGGAGATGAAGAGCTGCGGTAGTTTGCATAGAGAAATCTCCAGTCGTCCAGCCTCCTCAACGTTACCTGAACGCCTCCCAGGACTACACGGGGCATCGTGTTTTGCGATTGTGATAAAATTGCTTCAGACTTGCTACTTACCTCTTTATATTACTTCATGGCAGTCACTGGGAAGATATGTAGCATGAAAAAAATTATCCCACAACTTATCCATAATAGCCCTCGGTCGGTAAAGACACGGAAACAGTCGACAGTGAAGGAGTGTGTAAGCGTTTAGCTACACCCTTAATTCAGGGTTTAGGGACTTTAATCTACTGTGAATCGCAGAATTATTACTTTCTGAGTGAGCATGAAAATGTACAATTTAAGAGCATAAAGGAGGGAACAGTTTCATCTTCTCAGCGAACAAACGGGATAAAGGAATCTCCACAAACAGCCAGCCTTTGTTTTTGTTTAGTGGTTGTGTTAGTGGTGGTGCTGGTGTGTGTAAGGGAACACAGGGGAATCTGTGTGTGTAAAGGTCAAAGGTCAAGGAGGAATTTTCTTTTTTTTTTCTTCTTTTTTCGTTAGAGAGGAGGGGGTGGTCACACTTCGGTGCTGATGGCGCGGGTGTTGGTGTAGAATTCAGGAGGCCGACCTCGCTGCGTCTCCCTCAGCAGGGAGCCTCGGACCGCGGGCAACGGCATCGACAGCGCCTGGTTGTCATAGTGCGTGGGCATGTAGGTGATGCGCTCGCCACCGTTGCGCATTTCATCTGTAGTGCGGATGTAAAAAGGCGAGTCGTAGGGTGAGCAGGTGGGACAGTAGCTGCGTCGCCCCCTGGTGGTTTTGGTGGGTTTGTAGGATTTGGGCGGCACCGGTGGCGACAGGGACAGCGGGGTGACGATGGGTCCGTCCAGGCCTGAGACACTGCAGGCGTTGCAGGCAAAGTGTTGCTGAGAGATGGAGGCGCTGTCAGACCCATTCTTCTTGCAGCAGTAGTACTGCAGAGAGAGAAGAAGGCGTTGCTGTGGCTAAACTCAGGTTTTCTGACAAATAAACATACACTGAAGAAGCCACCGGGATGCTCCCAGTAATAATTTCCTTTCAGTACAACTTCAACTGTTTCCTGTGTGGATTCAATCTATAGTGTGGCTCGACAACACTGCGTCTGTTACAGAGTCCAAAAATCCTATTTTTCAAAGACAAATGAATGCCTCATCTTCCGAGTCCTTTTTTGTGTCCTTTTATAAAGATATTGGGGCTAATTTCTATATTTCTAAAAGAAAGCAGCTCCACTGAGAAGCAGATAGGATGAACTATACAGTATAGTAAAGTAGTATAAACATACCTGGAGTCTACAATAACACAGCACGGCTATGATACACAGAAGTATCACTGTGGCCAGTATTCCTCCGGTTATGACAACAGTTCCAGCTGTCATCCGACCAGCTCTCCATCAAACTCTGAGACAGGAAATGCATTTAGAAAGAGCTTTCTCACTGCTGACCCGATATGAAGCGTGAAGTCATGCAAGTGTAAGGCTGCTCAACCTCTTCCAACAGTATAATAAACAGTGAGGTCTATCATTCGTTGGGCAACGACACATTTGTGGATTCTCTACGTCTGTAATTCAAGTGTTCACCTTTAAATCAATTTATTTACTCAAAGTATGAACATACAACTTTAAATTAGGATATTTACAACTACAAGTAAACAATAACGTGCACAGACGTATAGAAATGAAGTCCTAAAATTAGCATATTCATCAACAAAGTCCAGTGTTTTGAAGCTAAAATGTTTATTTTACTTTGTGCAAGTATTAAAATCGAAGCAACTTTGACATAACTTTGTGCAGAAACTCAACGCCAAATGCACTGATCCAATTAGCTGAGACAGAGTGGGAGAATTTTATGTCAACAACATAAAATTATTTGCATTGTGGCAAACATGATATTACAACCACACGTACAAGTGTTGATATACTCACGTTCAGCAAAGCTGCTTAACACCTGAAAGGAGACAAATAATAATATCAGACAGACGGACGGACGGACGGTGAGACAGACGGTGAGACAGACAGATCAAACTTACATCAGAAGAGTGTTTGAAATGGTTAAAATCAGGTCAAAGGTGAGGGCTCACTTTATCTCACAGGCCTGCTGTATCTCTGAGGAGACAGAGACAGAAATGTTAATTGTAGTAACTGTTTTCTTCCACAAGATGGTACCAAGAGTACAATAAAGCTCTCACAGGGGACAGTGGCTTGTTACAATCCGGTTGTTCAGTCTGACATCACTAGCCGTGTCTGGGTCTAAACTCCGCTGCAGGTCCATATATCAAACATCACTGTGGCATTACTGAGAGTTGAAAAACTGTCTAAAGTCTTTCATCTTTAATAAAATGATCAGCGTTCTGCTCTACCAGGTGTAACAATTGAGTTTAACATCCAGGAAAACGGAATTTATGACATTTAACGGAGTTAGAAGTTAGCAGGGAGTTAGCTCGCTAGCTTCTATCTAAATACAATATAGCATGTCCTGACTGCGGGGTTTTGGAAACAAATTCAAACGTACAGCTCTGTTATCACTTCCAACATAAATGAAGACAGAAAACTAAACAGCAGTGACGTTTGTAGGGTTACTGAAGTTTGGCTAGCTGGTATATAATGATGTGCTACGTGACCGCTAGCGACACAGCTATGTTAGCATGATATAAACAAGCTAACTTTTTTTCCACTCGATAAAAGTTAACGTGAGTGTTCTCGGTGGTCAGGAACAAATGTAATCGCATGGCAGGATGCTGTAAAAGGACCAAACTTCAGCCAGGAGAACAACTGAGATAATCCATCCACAATACGAGGTTAGTCATTCATATACTGCTGCATGGGCTGGGCTGTAGTTACATCCTAAGGTTTTAAAAACTGAGCTTAAATAAATGATTAGCGGTAATAAAAGCCGAGGGAGGTCAGCAGTGATCACTGACTGTTTTAGGAGCTTTTTGAGATTAAATAGAAGAAAATACAAAACATTAAACATGTTAACAACACAAAAGCCATATTAAACACAGACTACTTTAGGCCCGGAAGTAGGATTCGTCGCGTCATCACTGAACAACCGGATTAACAAGCCTGAAGGAATGACTACAGTCACTACGAGTGAAGATGATGAAGAAGAAGAAGAAGAAGAAGAAGAAGAGAAAACAAAGCAGAAAAGAAGGTAAGAAAACTTCATTGTTCTATCAGAAAAAACACAAATATTAACAAGAATAACAGCAAATAATGTAAAGTGGCAAATACTCCTGCAAACAACAAAGATTATTTGTTGACTACTTCACCAGATAAAAACGGTTTAATAAACTCAAATACATATGATCGCATCATAACTGTGTCCCCCTTTTTACCTTCTACCGATCAATAGTTCCGTTTCACTCTAAACAGCCAAGGAGACAAAAAATGAGAAGAGCACTGATGTTTGTACACATCAAAGTCTAAATTGTCACACACATCTTCTCTCTTATCCACACTGGAAAGCACACACACACACACACACACACACACACACACACACACACACACAGCATTATGGGATAGCAGCAGTAAAAGTGATTTAGCAGCGAGGGCCTCGACTGGTCGGGGTTTGGGTCTGCAGCCTGAGGCAGGTCCAGGTGAAGTAAAATCTATGCCTGCTGATAAAAACATGTCCATCCTGTGAGACGGGTGGAGGCAGGAGATGTTGGTGAAGGGAGAGACAGGAATGCTTTAATGAATTTAAAAAGAATACAGATATGCTACTCGTGCTACGCTCGTGCATGACACCCAGAATTACTCCTGACAATTCTGCTGTTTGACATGCGAGTGGATTTATGTGTTTGTTTTTCCTGTAAATGTAATATGACAAATCATTCTTCTCAGTGCACTTTAACAGAGGTGCAGATAACAGTTAGCTCACTGGTGTCTCATTCATCAGACTTGTTTTTGCATCACATGCTGCATATGCCAGAAGACTAATGCAGAGACTCAGATCTGAAGATCATTTAGGTCGTGTCTTCACCCTGGGCCCTGTTTCAGGAAGCCGGTTTAGAAAACTCAGAGTGAAAAACGATAC